TACACACACACACACACACACACACACACACACACACACACACACAAACACACACACACACACACACACAGGCAGAAGTTTGTACTTCTGTCCATACATCTCTGTGAACCTAACACCTAATTAAAAATAGTACTTCACTCTTCAGCACCAGAACCTGGTCCCACAAGGACAACTGGACTCAACTGCTACAGACATAAAGGACAATAATCAGAGACAAAATGAGTAAAGTGTTAGTTCAGTCAGGGAGATTGTAGTTTTTAGTAGACCTGCTCCAACAGGACTTTAGCTGTAGACCAGGGGTACCCAAACATTTTCCCCGAGAGGGCCAAAATGAAAATCTATCCAGGGCTGCGGGCCAAATGCAGTAAGATAATACATGAAATTCAAATACTTTTTAAGTAAAGTCCTTTATTTTTAACTATCAAGCTCTTTTGTTTTAGTCTGTGCACTTGGAGAAAGTCTGCCATACGCTCAAGTAGCAAAGGCTCGTGGGACATTTCATAAATTGATAAAATATGAGTTTCTGTGGCCTTATAAAGTGTGCAAATCTACATGTGGGGTTAAATCTGATCTAAATATTTCTTGTTGTCATTTCATGTTCCATGTTTAATCCTAATAAATCAAAGATAAAATCAGCACCATGAATGAAAACTACCTTCACTACGTTTACATAGTCATTTGACCAATGGAAATACTGCGTTTCTGGATAACAGGTTACAACTTTGTAACTTTGGCAATTGTTGGTGGGCCAAATCAAATGCCTTGACGGGCTAAATTTGGCCCGCGGGCCCTACTTTGGGCTCCTTTGCTGTAGACAGATGTGTTCATACTGATCGTGTTTCAAGAAACACTTTTTATTTTTAACTCCAACTTTGATGAATAAAGCTTATACTGCAGACAGAACCAGATGAAAATCTGAACTCACCAGCTACATGTTTAATGTAATTTGATGTATCCAATTTTTTATAACTGCTGAATATTCAGACTGGCTGAAGAACTAAACTTTTAGCTTCTAATAAAAATATTATTAAAGACAAATGTGGTGAGGTCATATGGGCAGGTAGACCCCAGATCTTCTAAAACATGTAAATAACAATGTCCACACCACAAAGTAATACCTCATAATAACTAATGTAAATTACTTCATTACATTACTTGCTTGGTGTTGTTTTTTAACGATTGTATTTGGTTTTAACTCATTGATAGGACCACTAACTCTGAACCTCATAGGATTTTATTTAAAGCAGCAAAACCTGCTGAATCCAGAGGAGAATCCTCTGTTTAAAAATCTGTTTGTTGATCCATAAGATTATTTTTTTGACTGAATATATTTTATCAGACTGAACCTTGACCTGGAGGAGGGACAGTAAAGGTGATGAAATTAATACAGTATTTATCAACACGTCTTCTGTCTTTTCCAAAGAAAATCCAACACAAGTTATAAAGTTTGTGATTCAGGAAACAAACTTCATGTCAGTTATATACAACTCCAATGCCAGTGAAGCTGGGACATTGTGTAAAATATAAACAACACAATGATTTTCAAATTCTTTTCAACCTACATAAAATTGAATACCCTACAAAGACAAGATATTTAATGTTCTAAAGGATACATTTATTTATTTATTTATTTATTTATTGATTGATTGATTGATTGATTGCAAATGCTCACTCATTTTGAATTTTATATCTGCAACTCATTCCAAAAAAGCTGGCAAGATGGGTGAAGGGTCTTGCATAAGGACACAGCAACTGAGATGGATGGAGCAGGAGATTCGATCCAGCAACCCACCGGTTACACAACGACTCTCTTGCCACAGAAGCCCTAAAGGAAGAATTTATCTCTGGGTGGTGAATTAATATACCTGAAAGGGCTAATGTTGCTAATTTGGTGCAACATATTTTTTAAAGAAAAAATGAGCCTGTTTCAAACAAATTAATGGATGTTTTTGTCGGTTTGTATGTTTTGATGCATCTTCTTCTCTTATTAACATATTTTTTTATTAACCTTTGTCCAATGAGATCACAGATCTCTTTTTCAATGGTGGCCTGAGCCTGGAGGCAACCTATCTCTTCAGCTGTCTCTACAAAACCTTCCTCCTTCTGTCAGTATTTAGTTTCTATTAAATTCTGCTTCACTGCCTGACAAGATGTAAAACTTCTGAGGTCAGCAGATGTACTTTATGTTCTATAATACTTTCTTGTGGTTAATGTTCTGTTTCCACCACTTCTCTCTCTCTCTTGTCCTCCAGGTCCTCCAGGTGCTGTTCAGTCTTTCAGCCACCTGAGGTACAACTTGTGTAAGTGGTGTGAGATATCCAGTCCAGTGTGCACAGACAGCATTTGTCTCAGTAAATGCAACCTGTCCTCCTTCTGCACTGTCCTCGAGGAGATCTGTGTCTCCATATGGTGAGCCACTTTTTACTCAAACCCGTCACACTGGAAGACCTGACACTGTTACAGCGTTAAAGAATTAGAACATGTTGGTCTGTGTAAGGGTGAGATCTTCAGGTGGGTGGTGTATGGAGGGGGTTTAAGCATGTGGTGGTTTATCACTAAGACTGCAGTGTTACCATGATGTGATGATGTGCAACAGTATGATCTGATTAGCAGGACTCATGCCTAGACTATGACCCCATCAGGACCACACATGACAGCAGCTCAGTGTTTCTGTAGCAGAATATTCTAGAGCATAGCTGTATCATGTCAAGGTGTGTTCTAATCCCTGTGTATATGTAGTAGTATTGTCAATGGTTCTTATCAGTCGTGACATCAGTCATAGAGTACGGAGACAATGCAAACAACCAGCAGAGACACAGTCTATTTAGGATTTCTGATTACCACAGTAACATGAACACAGTTCAGCTGAGAAAAACAACAAACTAAACAAAGTGTAGGTGATTAGCTGATGCAAAGTTCTTTTACAGTATGTCATTTGTGAGAAAGACTTGTTTTACTAGTCCTGAAAATGAAAACTTGTTCGTCCCGTCAGAAAGTCTTCTCACTGTGCTCTAAGTCTGATGTCCTAAAAGATAAAATACTAACTATTGATAACTATCCAACTTTAGAAATGACCAGGCAACTTTAGAAATGACCAGGCAATCCCTTTCCTGTTTCTGTGACAGTCTGAATAAGGTCAGCAGGTTTCAGCACATCAAGATCAAACAAGATTTGTATTTTTTTTATAAAAACATGAAACTGGGCACAAACCAAGAATATGACTGTAAAGATTTTCAGCTTTTTAGTTAGAAGCTATTTTCTATGTTGTTGTCATGGTGAAAATAGTGACATTGGTGTAGTTATTTCGTATATCTCTTTAAAGCGTTGTACCAAAGTTTTCATTTGTTGTTTATTGTTTTATTTTTTGTAAAAACAGTTTCTGTGTCTGTTTATGATTAGAAGACCGTGAAACAGACCCTTGGAATTAGCAGTAATTAGACATTAAGCCTTTTGTTTTGCTTCTGTTTAATAGAAAATGCTTTTCGAAGCCTCTGTCCACAGAAATGTTGCCCACGTTATCTGATATAACAAACTCAGTTTGTTGCTGATCAGCATAATGAAACTTCCTGTAAGGATTTCTTACAGCTCTGCTAAAAAACATTTAAATATGTGGTTGGTTCTTTTTAGGGTTTTGACATTAGAACATGTTGTCTCTGGAACTTTTGTACCAGTTTATGGTAAAAACATTCATTTTGGCTGGAAATCCTTTTTGCGTTTTAGTCTGAACAACAGTCTGACTCTGGGATCCCCCTCATCTCTTGTTCACCCAGCTTCACCCTCCCAGCTCTGCAGGAAACCAGAGAAAAAGAACTGACTGGAAAGAGAGGGAGGAGAGAAAAGCAGGGGTTTGTTCTAACAATGTTTGTTTGTGTTGAACTTCAACAGAGATATACAGTATATCAGATTTGCTCAAAGGCTGTGAGGTTCAGAAATCTCCCAGTTCCATCAAGACGTTTTTACTAACACCAGTAAAAATAAACTTTCAAATGTACTGTAGTACCAAAGTAAAGTAAAATCCTTTAATATGGTTGACTTTAAAAACTTGGAAAATTGATAACATTGTTTATTTTGTTTTATTTTTTATCACTTCAGTAGAAAAAAGAACTTAATATTAGTTTCTTAATTTC